TGTAAACAAATGCGGAGTGTGGTGGGCTGGGGGGGTGTGAGTGAACGCTGGAGTGGACTTCACCCTCACTCCTCGAGGCCAGGCCAGACCAGCTGTCTGCCAGCGCCACAGGGGCTTCTGGGGTGGGGGTGGGGGTGGGGTGCGGGGATGCAGTTGGGGACAAGGCTGAGAGCTCCAAAGACCAGGGCCTGGCACAAATACCTGCCAGGAGTGTGTGTGTGTGTGTGTGTGACAGACAGACAGACTTTAGGAGACAGAAAGTGGAATAGTGGTTGCCAGGGACTGGGAGAGAGGAAGGGGGAGTTTTTGTTTAATAAGTACAAAGTTTCAGTTTGGGATGATGAAAGTTTTGAGGATGGATGGTGGTGATGACTGTACAACAATGTGAGTGTGCTTAATGTCACTGGCTGGTACACTTGAAAGTGGTAAAAATGGGAAATTACCACAATTTAAAAAAAATTTGTTTCTAAATCATCCTTAGAGAAAGACAGTCCCTGGTCAGTGCCCATGCCCTCAGCCCAGGGCTTTTCAACAACAGCACCATCCACATTTGGGCTGAACAATTCTGTGCCGTGGGCCTTGCCTGCAGCGTGTAGGGTGTTTAGCAGCATCCTGGGCCCCTACCCACTAGAAGCCAGCATTCTGCCCCCCTCACCCCACAGTGCAGCGATCAGAAATGTCTCAGACACATTGCCAAATGTCCTCTGGGGGCAAAATCGCCCCAGTGGAGAACCACTGCCTTCACTGCTCGGAATAAGCCGCTCCTAGGAGAGGCCCAAGGAGCGGGTGGGCAACAGAGAAGCAGGCAGTTGTCCTGGAGTGGAGGGGTCTTAGCAGGAAGGAAAGCAAAGGTCAGCAAACTCTGAGGGACCCCAGGAGGTGGTGGGCAGGATTTGAAGACCCAGAGTGAGGCATACTGGGCGGGGGCAGGTGCACAGTGCGGTTAGGCTACACTCAAATCTGTTGCACCCACCCACCCTGGGGGGAGAAATGAGGGGGCTCACAGCTGCCATTCCCATTCTGCCACCACTCCTGGCCCCTCCCCCTTCCCCACAGGTGAGACGCAGAGGAAGCGGAAATTGTCACTACAGCTGCTGGTGGTGCCTTCTAAAAGGGCTGGGGGATTCTACTGCTACTCCCCCCACCACCATGGGAAAAATGAGTGTCTCAGGGCACACTGTCTCCTTTCAAGGCAACTGTAAAGAATAAAAGCAAATAGAAACAGAATTTTTAACAGTTACATCTAATATGCAACAAAGTTGAAAGTCCCCCTTGAATGGGATGCTCTCACTATTAACCTAGTCTTTGGCATTAAGGAATCGATTATGGATACTGAACACCTGCCAGGTGCCCTACTCCATGCCGAGTCTAACACAATAAAGCAAAGTCCCTGCCTCCAGGAAGCCACAAGCTGGTGGTGACAGGGGAGAGGAGGGAGCTGGAAGGAAGGTGTGGAGGTGGAGGCAGAAGGTGCAGGCCTGGCTGGGGTAGCCTCTTCTAGTGGCTTCCAGGTGTGGATTACACTGCTCTCACCCGAGATGCCCTTTTAGGGAGCATCCAGCTCCTCCCTGGTGATTTAAAGTTGCTTCAGTCCACTTGCCAATGGGCCTCCTTCCTCCCTCTCGGTGGTTTCTTCTGGGTGGGTATGACCCTGGGCCCCAGAGAGAGGGCCAGTGAGGAGCCACTACTGGCTTTGGGTGGGAGTTCTTGATGGGTAAAATAGATCAAGAGTTGACCGTGGTAAGAGTCAGTGGCTCCCCTAAGCCTAGAGCCTTGGGTGCCTCAGGGTCATGCAGGACCAGAGAGGGTGGGCAATGGAGGGTGGCCTGGTCGGGAAGAGAGGAGGGTGAGGACTGGTGAGAACAGGGCAGATTTCAGCCTGCTGAGCTAGCCCTGGGGTGCAGTCTCCCCCACCCCCCCATCCACCCACCTCTGGAAGGATGGTGCACCTCACGCTTCTGCTGCCACCGCTGCAGACCAGGATCGTCGGGGGCCCGCCTTGGAGGGGTGCTCGATCAGGGGGTGTCGGGACCCTGGGGCTGGGTTGGGTCTCAGAGCAGGTCCTCCTTGTTCTCTATGCTATGGAGCTGGCAGTCAACAGGAAGTGAGTCCCAGGGTGAGAAGAGGTTGTGTGGTCCCAGGGCAGGAAGTGAGTGACAGCCCAGTTGTCTGAGCAGCTTTGTGGGGCTGGGAGCCTGCCCTAACTTGAAGTGTCTGTGGGGAAGCAAGTAGCTAGAGGAAAGGAGGACACGGCCATGGTAAGAAATTAGTGTTTACCTAACCCTCTCAGCCCGAGTGGGCCAGCCGGACCCCCACACCCACCTCCCTGGGAGTGCCATGTTTGGGGTTCTGTGGCTCCTGGCAGAGCTAGACCTGAGGGTGGCAGTGGGAGCCCAGGTGCACCCCACTCTGCAGGCTGCCTGGGCCATGTGACTCTCATGCACACGAGCCTTGAGGGGTGAGAGGATTTACACCAGGGAGGGCACTCTAGGCCAGGGAGCTCACTGGCTTGAGAGGGAGGTAGCAAAGAGCTTCTGAGTCCTAGACAGAGTGTGTGGGTCCTGACACATGGGCCTGCTTGCTCCACTGGCTGGCCTGTGTTTGGCCTCCGGGCTCTGCTGGCTTTGGCCCCAAGCGCCCAGGCCTCGTGGAGGATGTCTCCCTTCCGCCGGAGGCCAGGGGCCTCCTCTTCCTCTTGCTGCGGCCCCCGCCCCCGCTGCTGGGGAGCACGCACACTTGTAGCTTTCAGTGGGCGGTTTTCTTCCTGGAAGCAGGCCTGCCCCAAGCCGCCCCGCACAGCCGGGGGCAGCAGCTTGGCAAGGCCTCTGGAGTCCCCTCCGCTCACCCTCGGGCTGTTCTGCGGAGGGAGCTTCACCCAGGGCGGTCTGGTTTTCATTTTTGTTTTTTCCTAAGGCTCTCATCCTTGTTTGCCACTTCTAGGGGTTCCTCACCATATGTAAAAGTTGAGATCGTAAAAGTTGAGATCGCAGACTCTTGGAGCAGAAGCAGCCTTGGGGGTTGCTGGGCTGTGTGACAAGGATCTGGGGAAAGAAGCACTCTCTCAGGCTTTGGGGTACACTTCAAGGGTACGACTTTCTGGAGGAAATTTGGCAGGGTCTACTCACGCTTAGAGGGCCAAGTCCACTTCTGGGACTCTGGCCTGCAGAAATCCACACGTGCACAGCACTATCAATGCAAGGGGGTCAATGCAGCAAAAAGCAAACCAGCCCAAAGGCCCACCATTAGGGAACGGGTTGAATAAATTCTGGACTGTCCATTCAGTAGACATTGAATGAGACACAGAATGAGCCAGAATGAGCCAGATCCACATGGAGAAATGCCTGCTGTGCTTGTTAAGTGAAAAAGCAAGATGCAGAACAGTATGAGTAGTATGAGCCCCCTTTAAGGGGAAAAGAAAATGAGGATCTGGATGTGCGTATAAATACATATGTGTAAACATGGAACTCACACGTGATTGTAGATACATAAAGAAAATGTCTAGAAAAGATACTCATCAAGCTATTAATAATGATTCACCTGCAGGGAGTGATTTTGGATATAAGGAATTGAAGTAGGAGCTTTAACCTTTTAACACTACATTTTTGTGTGGTTTGGGTTTTTTGTTTGTTTTTGAGGGAGGAGGTAATTAGGTTTATTTATTTATTTATGTTTAGAGGAGGTACTGGGGATCAGACCCAGGACCTCGTGCATGCAAAGCATGCGCTCTACCACTTGAGCTATTCCCTCCCCTCCATTTTTGTGTGGTTTGAATTTTTACTTGTGTTTGACTTTTTAAATAGGAAAAAAAAAAAAGCACTTAAACAGAAAGAAACCCTCCTTTGGTCTTGCCTAGTCATCTGGCCTCACAGGTGGGGAAACTGAAGCGCCCTCTTGAATGGCACCTTCCTGAGGTGTTTGCTGAGTGCATGCAGCTCCCACCCTTCTCCAGGCAGGCATTCTGCAGGGGAGCTTGTGGGCAGGTTGCTGGGGATGGCCTGGTGCCCACAGGGGTGGCAGAGCTCCAAGCACGATGTCTCTTGCGTTTTTTCACCCCAAGCAGACACCTCTGTTCCTTCTGAGATGTCCTGGCCTAACTGTCCCCAGATGGCCAAGGACCAAGTGCTCCTTGGATTCTGTCTTTACAGAGTGTGTGACCTCAAGGAAGTCACAGAACTCCCCAAGGAGGCGGAGCCACTCTGAAGGGGCAATGCGTGAGAAGGAGTTTTGCCCACCGTGCAGTGACACGTAGGAAGGACAGTCGTGACTACTCTCGATGTGATTCTGGTAGCAAGCTCAGTTCTGAGGCTCCTGAGGACAAAGCAGTACACTTCCTCTTAGAGGGGGATTGTGGGACCACGTGCTGGGGAGGGCTGGCTACAGAGACTGCGGGTTGCTGGCCGGGGCCTTGGCTCTCCTGGGGTCTGAGCGCCCTGGAGAGGTTGTGGGGTCAAAGCTGAGGGACCGAATGGCACTAGGCTTTGGGGCCCAGAGGAGGCCCCCTTTCATCCTCACACTTCACTCACCAGGCAGCAGCTCAGGAGACCAAGAGGATAGCCAGGAGGGCTCCGACAGAGAAGTCAGATCAGCCCGGTGTTACTGGTCTTCTGAGGAGGGGTCCTGGCTGTGAGGAGGGCTAGCGCGAGGAGTATTTGTTTTCAGCAGGGGCCACAGAGGAGGCTTGGGGGCCCTATGCCACCTCAGTGAGTGGGAATTGTGTGGGGCGGGTGCAGCTTGCAGTGGACCCAGGCTGTCAGACCTGCTCGGATTTTTCTCCTGTTTCTTAAGCTGGAGCCCACAGACCCCTTGACCTGAGGGGGTCAGGCCCAGGAACTTATAATCTGAGAGGAAAACCGTGAGTGTATTTGCCTACATGAACCTTCACGAACACAATCTTCTGGACAGAGGGTGTGTGTCTCACCAGAATCTCAGACAGGTCAGTGATCCTAAAGCAGCTAAAACCACTGGTCTAAGGCTCCCTTTGTGTTTCTTTCTCTTTCCAGGTGGAAAGCAGTGACACTCCAAAGGACCCTGCGGTGACCTCCAAGTCCCCGGCCATGGCCCAAGACTCAGGGCCCTCAGAGCTGTTACCCAATGGGGACTTGGAGAAGCGGAGTGAGCCTCAGCCAGAGGAGGGGAGCCCCGCTGGGGGGCAGAAGGGCGGGGCCCCAGCAGAGGGAGAGGGTGCAGCTGAGACCCCGCCCGAAGCCTCCAGAGCCGTGGAGAATGGCTGCTGCACCCCGAAGGATGGCCGGGGAGCCCCCGCGGAAGAGGGTGAGTCTCAGGCACACGGGGTAGCCTCTGCTGGGCTGGTGGGGACTCCCCTGAGGGCTGGACCCTCAGGGCCCAGCAGGCCCCAGGAGGCCCCGTCCGGGCGTGGTCGCTGAAGGTCTCCTTGCTAAGGCTGTGCCCTGCAGGCTCCTGGCTAGATACAGCCTGCACACATGTTTTATTTGGCCCACATAGTGTTTTAAACATTTAAAAAAATTAGTTGCCAGTATTTAAAAATCAAGAAATTTCACATAAAAATCTGGAGTTTTGGCTTCTCATGGAAAAAAAAGCTGTATCTGGCAACAGTGGGTTTGCAGAGTGCCAGTGGTTGCTGGACTGGGGTGATGACTGTCCCCCCACAGGCTGGTTGTACGCCTCGTTTCCCTCAGCCTTTACCTGGCCTGCTTACTCTTCCACAAGATCTATGGCTCTTAGAGGTCGATGCGTTGGTAGCCCCTGGCCTGGGCAGCAGATGTCCTGGGCTGTTAAAAGCCCAGTCAGCCTTCCCCAGTGCAGATGTCCTGAGCGCACCACAGTTTAGTGGACTTGACTAAAGTTTGGTGGTGACAGAGTTGGGGAGAGGAGGGGCAGGCGAGGGTGGCTGTACGCAGCTCAGCCCAGGCCTTGTCCTCTGGGGACTTTTTGGCCTAGCCCTGGGGTCCTGGAAAGTTGCCCACTTTTCTCTTTCAGGTTAAGCCAGGGATTTCAGGGCCAAATGAGCTGTAAACATGTTAGTAATGAGGACAACTAGCATTTGTACAGGGCTTCACAGTTTACAAAGCGCTTCCTCATACATTATCACGTTTGATCCTCCCAGGGCCCTGCCAGCTTGTTTTACATATGTGCATTTTAATTTCAGAAATTCCTCCTTCCAAGTGTACATGATGGAATGAGTCAATCGATTAATTGGTGTAACTTAACTTCACATGCATCCAAACCTAATATTTGTGCAGAGAGCATCTCCAGAAAAGAGATTTCCAAATTTATTTAAAAATACATTTCATTCATTTATTACTCAACTAATATTCACAACGCTCCCACTGTGTGCAAAGTGCTTTCTGAGATACTCTGCATTCGTTGTTTTATTTACTCTTCCAAACAATCTTCTTCAAGAGGTATTATTATCCCTGTTATAAAGTAGGAAAAAAGTGAGGCTTAATGAGATGAAGTGACGTCCTCAGGGACCCCAAACCTGTAAGTGACAGATCCAGGATTCATTCTGCCTCATTCCGTCTTGGTCTCTAGCTTCAGAGTCTGTGTGCCCTTCCAATATCCCCTGCTGTTCTGGAATGGGGCTTGGGGCCGGCTGGTCCTGAACTGAGCACTTCCGGGGGTGTGTCCTGACTCTTGGTGGGAGTGGCCAAGGGGCCTGAGTGGAGTGAAACAGGAGGAGAGGGAGAAGGCGCCATCCTTCTGTTACTGAGGCCACATGTGCAGGAGAGGAACCTGAGAACCCGTCAGCCCTTCCCACCAAATAGGCAGCTCCTGGGACCCCACCATGGCTGGCACCCAGTTGCTGCCCAAGGCCTGGGCAGCCCTTCCTGCCTGGCGGGATGGAGCAGCGCTCCAAGGCTGCTCTTAACCCATGCGGGTTTGCTTTCAGTTTGGCATTTCCCTGTCTCCCTTTCTGTCCGTTCTCAGGAGTGACTCCTTCAGTCAGTCAACAGGGGCTTATTAAACACCCATGTGGTGTGTGCCAGGATCTGTGCCAGGATCTGGGGAACAAAAATCTGGTTCTTGCCTTGGAGGACCTCACAGTCTGCTGGAAAGGCAGACATTAACGAGAAACGCACACTTAAAAAGTGTGTGATTCCTCACGGAGATAAGTTCTCTAAGGAAAAATAAACAAGTTTCTCTGAGGAGATGTAACAGAGGGACCCCAGCCAGCCTGTTCCGCCTCAGCTGAAGGATGAGCTCGGGTTCACCGGGGTGGGGAGGTACAGGGAGGGGTGAGAGCGGGGCATCCAGGGACCCGGCAGAAACCCATGAGTCAGGAGTGGGGGGAGGAAGGGAGAAGGGCATGAGGTAGCAACCAGCACAGCTCCAAGGCTGCCCTCTCAGGGGGTGACATGATCCGCTTTGCGTTTTGAAAAGATCCCTTTGCCATCTGGATCCTGGAATGGAACCGAGGGGCCGGGAAGCAGGATGAGCGGTTAGGAGGGAGGATCTGGAGAGCGGTGAGTGAGTGCCAGGGACATGAGGGGGTGGGGAGAGATGGTTCAAGGGTGACTCCTGGGTTTGGGACTTTCACACATTGAGTGGATCTTTCTCAGAATCTAGTGCAAAGTGCAGCAGGCAAAAACACTTCAAGCATCCTTGATTTCCAAAATTTGGCCTTGGAGCATTCCCGTGTGGCCCCAGCTATCCGGGCAGTGGAGATGCTGGCAGGGATCAGAGCTGGGATCCCTGAAGGTCGCCGTGAATCTCCTGGATGCTGAGACTGGTGAGGTGTTACCTTGAGGGGTGGGCAGTGGCCCTTTGGAGGCTTGGCCACTGGTCCAGCAGTCAGCCGCACAGAACGCATACTCAGCTGCTTGGTTCCAAGGAGGAAGGAGACTTGGCCCCGGGGGAGGAAGTGACTTGGCCGTGGTCTCCTTTCGGTTCCTCTCATTCCAGATCTCTTTTCAGAGGCCCCGCACATCTCTCCCGGAACCCCTCTCATTCGTTCCTATGCAGGAAAAATGGAGGACTTTAAGGCAGCCTTGGCCCGGGCACCTTTCTGTGTACACGTAGGAGCCCCAGATTCTGATAGTACAGCCAGGAGAAAGGAGGGACAGGGGAGATGATGAGTAATAAGGACAAGAGCCACCTGGACAGGCAGGTGGTGGCCTTGGAACTGCTCCTATACTCCTAGCATTAGGGCCATCATGATGAGGGTAGTAACGATGGTAATGTGGCCTTCTTTTACTGAATATTGACTACGCGTTGAGTGTTCTATATCCTTGCTACTCAAAGTGGTCCATCAACCAGTAGCATCACCTGGCGTCACCTGGGATGTTAGAAATGCAGAATCTCGGGCCCCATCCTAGACCTACTGAGTTAGAATGTGCATTTGAAAGAGATCCTCATGATTTTGATGCACATTAAACTTTGAGAAGTCCTGCTCTTTATGTAACTCTCTTATTTAATCCTTGCAATCATTTGAGAAAGACGTATTACCCCCATTTTTCAGATGGGACTGAGGGTTCAGAGAGGTTAAGTTATTCACCCAAGACTGTACAAATAGTGAAGGACCAGATTAGGATCAATACAAATCCCCTCTCTGCTCAGACTGAGCACACAGTGTTGGGCTAGTGGCTGTCCTCTGGGATAAGCCTGGCCTCAGCCCTGTCCTTGAGATCTGGGTTCACTTTAGAGGGAATCCGGGGTGACCCCTGAAGGAGTATAGCCTCAGACCAACAGGTAAGTGTTAGAAGCACCCTGGCCTGGCCTGCCCTGCCCCCAGGACCTGAGATGCCCTAGGGTCATGTCCAAGCCTGCCAGGGCCACCCTGGAAGGCACATAGCCACCTGGCCAGCCTGTGACCCTGGGTCTGGGCCAGGAGCAGATGGACCACAGAGGGAGTGTCGAGAGAGCAGCTGACCCTCCTTGACTCATGACAAAGTGCTGCATTCTGAGGCAGCCCAGTTTGTTGTTTTGCTGCGCCTGGCTGAAAAGTGTGTGTGTGATGTCACTCAAGTGGGCATGCGCAGAGTCCGTCTGGAAGAAAATTCCAGAAGGATGCTAGTTAGAAACCACATGAGGAAAAGTAATTCTGTTTGGGGGAATATGGGGGCCGGGTATAAGGAAGGGGTTGGGGACATCAAGGTGGTGCAGTGTAAAATGAGTTAGCTGCCTGGGGAGTCAGGTGCCCTGGAATCTGCTCTCAGCTCTGGCAGTAAGTCACGCGGCACCCCAGCCTCTGTTTCTCCGTCAAAGGGCTGGACAAATACTCCGTCAGCAAAACTTAAGGGCTGGACGAGTACTCTGTCCTCGCCACAGTTCCCTTCATCCCTGATATTCTTTCATTCTAATGAATAAATGAATCCCCATAAACCAACTGCCTGTAGGTCCCCTGTAGGAAACGGCTGAGGTCCAGGGGACCTCTGGGCTGCTGCGTGATTTGAGGGTGGGCGCCCCCTCCTGGCAGCCCAAAGCCTCACCGGGCGGAACGTGGGGGTCTGAGAGGAGGGAGGACCCCCGGGAAGAAGGGAGGCTCTGAGAGGGCAGGAGGGGGAGTCGGGCGCCAGGGGGCCTGAGAAAAAGTTGGGAGCTGACTGTAGTGAATCAAGAAGACCTAAAGGAAACTCAAAGGAAGAGACAAAGTCCGGTGAGACATACCTTAAAAGGCCTGTCGCGTACACAGCGTTGGCGAGTATGCACCCCCGCTTCCTCCCTGCCCGCGGGGTCCACACCTCCCTGCCGCCCACCCTGCAGCTGCTGGCCCTGCCTTCCCCGACCCCACTCCGGGGCTCCAGGTCGCCAAAACCCAGTGCAGAGCCCCAGGTGAGAGAGGAGAAAGAAACATCCTCTCTGGGGGCTGAGGATTCAGAGACCTTCAGTGCTGTGGCTGGTTTCCGCCTCAGAGCCAGGAGATGCAGGAGGGGCTGTTTTTTCCGTTCTGGGCTCTTTGTCTCCCCCTCACACCCCCACCCCCACCCCCAAAGCTACCCTGAGCCAGCCTTAGTGACCTTCCTGCTTTGGGCCCAAGCTCAATACTCTTGGCTTCAGACAAAAGAGTTCTGGGGCCCAGGTGAAAGGAGGTTCACCCACCCTGTCCTCCAACAGAAAGCTTGAAGGTCTAATTAACCCAACCCACAGGCCAGGCCAGGGCTGTGCTGGGCCTGGGAGGGGCATCCAAGAGATGAGGACCCTGAGATGCAGAGGACCCTGGTAGGAGCGCGGGAGCGTTCTGGAATGTGACTGCCCTCCTGCTTGGGGCCTGGAGAAGGATGGAGAGCTCAGGCCCCCTTTAAAGGCAGTACTGCTGGGGCTCAGCCCCCAGGGGAGCCTTCCCTTCCAGGAACTGGAATCAGGGCCCATTAAGGAGCTATTGGGAGAAGGAGCAGGGAGATGCTGTCTTAGGGAAGGGGAACAAAACTCACTATATGCCAAGCCCTGCTCTGGGCACTTAATGTTCTCAGTAACCTTAAGATTTTAGAAGGGTTATCTACGTTGAGTCAGTGAGGAAAAGGCCAGGGGAAGTTACCCAGGACACATGGAGATGGCTGGAATCCAAGTCTTCTAGGATAAAGGCTGAACTCAGGGACCTGAGAATGGGGTGCAGAGGCAGATAATTCATGCTAGAACCACAGCTCCAGCAGCACTTTAGACACCATCTCCAGCATCTTTATTTTCGAGATGAGGAGACAGTCTCCTGGAAACGAAGTTGTTTCAGCAGTCCTACTCCAGTCGCCTAGTGCCCCACCGCCCCCCAGAGCATCTTGGCCACACCCCACACATAGAAGGCAGCGCTCCCTTCCAGGGCTGGGAGGGCTGTGCAGTCTGGCCCCTCCTCTGGGAAGGGGGTTCTGTTGACTGGGAGCAGCCGAGAGAGGCTATGTCTAGACCTCCTTCTGTGTGGCTGAGGCACTCAGTGGGCCAGCAACCACAGCCTTGGCTTTTCTGTTCTTTCGGATTCGGGCCTCCAACCCTGCCCTCGTCCTGTCTCTGCCCTGGCTGTGCTCTTGAGTCCTCAGGGCCAACATGGTGTCTGGCGTGCGGTGGGCCATCAGGTTTGACTCAGGGACAGCTCAAAACAGTTGGAGAAGCCCTGTCCCTGAGACAGGGAGCCCAGGCACCAGGCGAGGCCCCCGAGCCATCCCTGTAACTCTGCGACGGTCCCTTTGTTCTTCCCTCTCCACAGGCAAAGAGCAGAAGGAGACCAACATCGAGTCCATGAAAATGGAGGCAAGTGTTTTCCTCAACCCCCAGGGGCTCTGTGGATCCTGATTCTAGGAGAAGAAAGCCACCGCTCTGACCGACTGTGGCGAGTGTGTGTGTGTGAGGGGAGCCCGAGGTGGCCCCCGTCCCCTTCTTTATGTGTCATGCTGTGAGGAGCAGAGGAAGTGGGTGTGGAGGTTGGAAGTCCCCCAGCAAGGCAGCCGGCTTGGTCCCCCTCCAGGACCGAGCACCTCCCCTTCTGGTTTATGTCCTGCCCCCCATCCCACCATCCATCCCTCACTTTTCCAGCCCAGACAGGGGCCTGGCCCTCACTTGCAGGGCTGGCATCTCTGGCCAGGAGTCAGAGCTCCTGTGTTCTGTTCGAGGTGAGTGCCTCCTCAGTTTCCCCTCCAGGAGGAGCAAACCCTGCAGCGGGCTGTCTGTGCCCACCTTAATGCTGGTGTGTCTCTGTGATCTCTGTCCTAGGGCTCCCGGGGCCGGCTGCGGGGTGGCCTGGGCTGGGAGTCCAGCCTCCGCCAGCGGCCCATGCCGCGGCTCACCTTCCAGGCGGGGGACCCCTACTACATCAGCAAGCGCAAGCGGGACGAGTGGCTGGCACGCTGGAAAAGGGAGGTGAGGTGCCTTCTGGCCTGGGCCCCAGCCCGTCCCATGGACCCATAAAAACTGGAAGTTAGCTTCAGCCGCTGTCTGTGGCTGTTGTCAGGCCCTGGCTGGGCCTCAGTTTCCCCTTCAGTTTCACCTTTCACACTTACAGGGAACTGCTGGATCAGTTCCCAGCAGTAACTAGTTCCTTTGTTCGTTCAACAAACATTTATTGAACACTTACTGTGTAACCAGACAGTGTCCCAGGCTCTGTGCATGTATAATCCCTGCCCTCATGGAGCTGACATTCTTATGGGGAAGATGGATAGAAAACAAGTCAACAAGGGGCTGAAATAGAGGGTAACAGAGGCCTGCTTTAGGTAGGGTGGTCAGGAGAGGCTTCTTGGAGGAGGTGGCATTTAAGTTGAGACCTACAGAAATAGAAGAGCTGGCTCTGTGAGTTGTAGGGTCGGGGAGACTATTTGAGGCAGAGGAAACAGCACAAGCGAGGCCCTGAGTTCAGTCTGAGATGCTGAGGTGCCTGGAGCTTGGGGCACAGGGAGGTCCAGGCTACAGATACAAAGGCGGGAGGGCGTCAGAAGCAGAACCTGGCTTGTAAAGTCCATGAACACTGCTGAGCTCACCTAGGAGACAGGGATAGAGCAGAGACAGAGTCCCAGGATTAACATCCACGGAAACCGAACATTTATGGCTAAGTGGAGAGAGGGAGCAGCAGCAGCGGGACTGAGAAAGGGCCTGGGAGGAAGATGAGGGAGGAAGAGCCATGTCTCAGAAAGGAGAGAGTGGCCACCCAGCCATGCGTGTGGAGGCTGAATTGAGACATGCTATTGTACCTGCTGCCTGGAGGTAGCACACTTCCATGTGGATCTGGAGGGAGGGTGGATGCCAGCCCGTGGAGGGCTTCAGCAGTGAGAGGAGGTGGGTGAAACCAGTCCATTGAGCACCATTGTGGGGCTGCTCGCCTGTATGTTTGACTAGTAGAGAGAAGGCATGTTGACCTACTGGCACCAGGAAGGGAGGGCGACACGGTCACTGTCTGTTGCCACCACCTGGGGCATTCCACCTTCACTCTCACTTGTCTCTACCCCAGGCCTGCAGAGGAAGGCGTTACCCTGTTTGCATTGTGTGAGAGCTTGCTCTAGAGAAAGTTCAGAACAAGGCAGGGGTTTGGCTACTTGATTGTTCCCAGTTCCTTTGGGATCTAGGAAGGCAGAAATTTCTCTCCTGGAAGAGCCTGGAAAAGGGACAGCCTGTCCAAGGTCTAGGAGAAGAGAGGCACTTGACTCTGAGCATTAAGTGTGGTCTTTGGGATGGAAATAAGATGACCTGGGGCTGTTCTCTCCTTCCTCTGGCCTGTTTCGCTCACTCTCTGCACCCCCTTCCCCTGTAGCCTATGGGAAGGGCTTTGCTTTTTGACCTCTTGTTAATGGGTGGTCTGTGTTTCTGCTCTCTCTTAGCCAGAAGTTAGATGTAATGACTTTTAACCTTGAAAAGCTTCTAGAAATTTGGTGATCCTCAGGCTGTGCTCCCTTGAAGAAACAGTAGAGAGGACTACCCTCAGCTGAAATAAAAAAGAGCAGTCTTTTCTCAGTTTGCAGGGAAAAGTAAGATAATAGATACGTTTTCTCAATTTAAAATTTAAAAGACTAAAAAAGTAAACCCGTTCTGACACAGACTGACAGACTAGTATAGTGAACAACCAGCTACCTATTGCCAAGCTTCAACAACCATTAAAAGCTTTTCTAGGGGGAAAAAAAAAACCTTTATGAGGGAAGGGTGTAGCTCAAGTGGTAGGGCGCATGCTTAGCATGCATGAGGTCCTGGGTTCAATCCCCAGTAGCTCCTCTAAGAATAAATAAATAAACCTAATTACTCCTCCCCCCCCAACCAAAAAAAGAAAGAAAAGAAAAAAGATACCTTTGGTATCTGCCTTCCCCCAACCAATAAAAGTCATCAATGAGCATGAGAACGGGAAAAAAAATTTAAGGTGATTTAGTTAAAATGTTTTAGGGATGTGTGACTTGAGATGTAGAGACGTATACACGGAGTATATTTTCTGCTAGTAGACTGGTCCTTATTCACATGATAGAACTCAAGAATTCCACGGCTTCTGGTACAATAACTACAACTCCTGAGCCTCTTACTTCAGACTCAGGGGCTGGGGCCGCCAAGTCACATTCTGGCCTCAAGCTCACCCAGGGAACAGGAAAGGCGCTGGAATGGGATTTGAATTCAGACTCCTACTGCCATGTGGGGCCTGGCCCCAAAGACCACAGTCACCTCTCTTGGGCTCTGCCAAGGTGCTAGGGAGGACTAGCTGCACGTAAACAGAATATTGGATAAACACAGGTGGCTTTCAAGATTCCCAAGTCCCCATCAGGCTAAAGAGCAATAACCTTCGTCATCAGACTGTTTTCTAGGTGGCTTACCAAGGGGACAGAAATCTGTCCTCCTTTTGCAGTCTCCTGTTAGTTGCCTTCAGTGGCCTTCCTGACCTTGTCCCCAAGGTTCTTCCCCATTTCCTCCAACTGCATCTTCTCAGGATCCTCCTCTGTCCCTTAACTGTGTCACTCCCAGATCTCTGCCCCCAGCCCTCGGTCAGTCTTGATCCCCTTAACCACTTACATGTTCTCATAGATCCTACTGCCCGCCCTCCTCCCAAAAAAGACACATCCTCTTCTGCCGAATCCAAGCTGTTTCCCAGGCAATGCTACTGGGAGGTCCTCCCAGCATTTCCAAACCTCAGAATGTAAGACCTGCCCTTTAAAGTTGCTGCAGGCATGCCACTGAGCTGACTGCCAGAACCCTCCCTGCCTGAGCACCATATAAGAAACTAGAGCTACCGGAAGCCTAGGGGATTCCCGGTTGTCCCGTGATAGGGCAAAGAGTTGGGCACCTCCCGAAGATCATCACCAAGGAGTTTAGACTAATTCTGCCTGGGGTCATCTACACATCAGCAAGGAGTGACTTTTAGCTTTTAAAGGATGGACTTGAATTTAGGAAAAGGGGGAAGGGCATTGCAGAAAGAGACACACAGCATGTGCAAAGGTTCGGAGGCACAAGAAAACATGGCCTTTTCATGAATGGAAGTTCATGGTGGCAGATGGAGCGCAGGGTGTGAGTGCAGCCCTCAGAGCAGCAGGAAGGTGGCTGGGAAGGTGCATGGGGCCAGGGCGGGGCCTGAGGGCTTGTGTGCCCTGCTGTGGGGCTTCACCAGACTCCAGTCTGCACCTTTCCCTTTCCTGGTCCACATGCCCCACCTGTCTTCCCTCAAAACCTCCCCCTCAGCTTAATTTCCTTTTCCTATGACCACCTTGTCAGTCAGTCCACAGTTACTCAGTGAGGTCTGCTCTTTACGTTTCTGTCCATCTGAGATTACCTCCCTCCCCAGGCTTTTCAAAAAAAAAATTAAGAAGACTTAGAATATCATAAAATAGATGAAATTTAAAATATGTGGATGAGAAAATAGGGCATTTCCTCCTTCTCTGAGGTTGAAGTGAGAATTCCTGCTGGAGCAGGGACGCTATCATGAGTCTTCCATCTCCTATTCTCTGCGCCTCTTTACTAGTCCTTTTAAGGATTAAACTCTGCTTCAGTCATGACCAGGCCCTGCTATAGAACCAGCAATAGCTCTAAATTGTCTCCCCATCATGTCAGAAATCCTCTGTTTCTCAAGGCTTTGACCCTCACTGTGACTTCCACAATGGCCCCACCCCACTTCTCTACCATCCTCTAATAGGAAGGCCCCTGTGAGGTACCAGTTTCCCTTTATACGTCCTTCCTCCCTGCCTTTGTTCTTAATATGCTTTCCCCTATCCATTCTTCGAGGTTGAATCTAAGAGCTGCTGCCTCCTCCAGGAAGCTTTCCAGAATTTCTCCAGGCCACATTGCCTTCTTCCCTTCTCTGCACCCCTTTAGTCCTTACTGTTAACATTGTTAGGTTTAGCGCTCAATTATATTTTGTAGAATATTTTCCACAAACTCTTTATTACACATTATGTCTTCTCCCATGATACCCAGTATGATACTGGGCAGGGAGAGCAGGCTCAACAAATACCTGTTGGTTGGCTAAGCAGTTGGGAGGTGGGTGAATATGGGATCCCTTCTCAGGGAGCTTGGGCCCAAGCCCTTGGTTTCCAGGGGTGCTGACAGGCGTACCTGGAGAATAGCATGGGGCCAGGGGACTGGGCAAGCTCCTCTGGTAAGGCAGTGCTCGAGTCTTCTCTACCCTGTTCTCCTGCTGCTCCCACTGGGCCTCTGCTGTGCTTGAGCCAAGGAGAACCTTACTTGGCCTGGCAGGGCTGGCCCAGGCCTGGGTGGCGGGGATGGCAGAGGCGAGGCATCTCTCCTGCCAAAGGAGGGCAGTTCCAGCTCCTCTTTCTAACTATTTTCAGAACAAAATGACCCTGTGGGAGCACTTTAGGCTTAGGAGGGGTTTCTCACGGGTGTTATTGCATTAACCCTCAGCATGGCGAGGCAGAAGGCAAAGCAGAAGAAGGCGTGCGGAGGCCTGGCCAAGCAGCTGAAACAGTCATGGAGCCAGACGGCCTGCAGATTCCCAGTGTGTATCACTGCTTGTGGTTTTAGGACTCAGTTATGGCTGGGTGATGTTACGACTCTCATTAATCTCTTCACCCAACCGAGTGTAAATTACTTCAGGGCAAGGGTCCCATGTCCTGCTGGTCCTTTTCCTGGCTCCCAACCCAAAGGGAGGGACTTATGCATCCTTAGGCTTATTAGATGCTCCATACATCTGATAACTGATAAATACTGATAACAAGTAATCTGAGGTCCAAATATCACAGCCTCTCCTTCCCGCCACTCTCCCTCCTGCACTCAGACCCCCTCCCCTCCACAGAGGCTGCCCAGCAGACAACATAGCCTTCTCTTAACTGGTAGTGAGATGCTGACTCAATCACTTGCTGGTTATGGCCCCTTCGGCATCACTTACCCTCCCCAAGCTGAGGTCCCTGCACTGTGGCTAGACCTGGCTGTGCTCTGCTCTCCTG